CGCCGCCGAGAAAACAGATAAAACATCTTTTATCTGTACTTAACATCATGTATAGCGTACATTGACAGTTAACATTCCAGAGAGATGTGTTTTTTACTTAGGATATTACTTTAGTAGTTTGAAAAATATCCGATAGATGGCGCAGTAGGTATAAAAATGTGTATTGGATTAGAAAATATTCAAAAATTAGGATAAAATATTATTAAAAACATAGAAAATAGTAAAAATGTATTAAATACGTACGGATTAGTCGGTCCTACCGAATATTTTACTATTTTTACGGCCAATTAGTCCGCTAATGACCAAAAATTTAATTTTTTTTTAAATTTTAATTATTTTACTAAAATTAAAAAAAAAAAATCGACTAAGCCGACTAGTCGGCCGTATACAGATAAAATAAAATTTATTTTTTTATTCCTGATGAGTGAATCTGATGAACATATGGCTGGAGGGATCGCTCGCATGCCTTTTCGAGACATATGTCTAGATGCAGGACCCAAATCAGTGGTGAATGCGAGAACGCGCCGAGTGTTGCGCCCAGAATGTGGAAGCGCCCCAATGAAATTTTAATGCGTGTGCGTATCAAACATCACCACACACACCCATACACACTTACACCCATGAAATAAAAGTATTTGGTGGGCATCAAGTGTAAGAATAACGCAAGATATGTGTCCTGCGTGTATGATTGATTGCTTTTTCGAAATGTAATTACAACTCGAATAATATATCATAATACCTCGCACTCATCAGCAATTACCTCAATTTTTCTCGGCTGGGCGCGCACGCAAAGGTGGCGGTTGCAGAAGTTACGCTTCTGGAAGTTGGAAGCGGAGCGCTTTTTTTAATTAGGACGCGTAATTTAATGTCAGGTTAAGAAAATTCATTAATTTTTATTTTTTTGTATTTTCGTGGCTTTGCTGAATCATATTATCATTATTGCTAGAAATATCAATAAACGCAAAAGGGAAAAACCGCCGATACAAGCGATATTCACATGATGTTTTGTTTGTTTGGGTACGTACGAAATAAAATCGAATGCGAATAATAAACCGAAGCATAATATTCGTTTCCGTTCGTGCACTCAATTCCAGCCGTTGGGGGTGGTATCGCTGGAGCAAACAATACCCGCCGCCAATCGATGTCTCCATGTTTATTTTCGACAATAAAATCGCTGGCCCCCCCGGCAATGGAAGGAAAACAACACAGGCGCTCCTTTTGTGCGGCCAATAACACATTATCTCACTTTAGCATCCCCCCGGTTGTGCGCTATACGTCGTTAGGGAGCGCCGGGATAAAAGCCAAGATTGGCGGAGTGCGCCGCCCGCAATCTCAGCAAGCGCTATACTCGAAAAAAGGGAGTAAAAGAGGAAACTACAGGATGTTAAGTGTGTGTGCATGTGCATGTGTGTGTGAATGTGCCTCGTCGAATTTCGGGGCGAGTTGCCAGGCATCTTCTTTTCTCTTTCTCCTTTATCAAAAACGATCACGTCCCCGAGGATAAAGCAGAAGCTTATATGTGAAAGGCGAGCCTTTTCGGCGGAGAGTTTTACTATATAAAACATACACGAGTCGACTTTTCAATCTCTTTCCCTGGCTTTTCCACGGCTTATGGAAAGCAGCGCGCTTTCATTTATAAATCTCGAGACGTCTATTTGACCAATAGATTAAGCTTAGCGATAACATTTTCATTTATCCACACACATTCAAAAAGAGAGAATTTATTTTAACACTTTGTAGATGTATCTGTGTTCATTATTATCACTTGTAAGTGCTGCACGCTTTACGCATGCATATTTATAAATATTATCATCTATTACAGCGCCGAAGAGCGCCAAAAGTGGAGACTCTGTGGAGAGTAAAGTGCGCCCGGGCGCAGTGTGTAAAGTATTGCGTCGCGGGCTTCCGTCGCGCCGGGAGAGCTTTCGAGAGCTTTTACGGGCGCACAGTTTTACCGTGTATAAGTAATATAAAAAGCTCCCGATTTGCAGCGCCCCATAAATATTTAGCTCTAATTCTGAAAGCGCTTCCGACGACGACGGTGAAAATAACACAACACAAAAATAAAAATATTTGCGCATATACACAGTGTTAGAAAAATTGTTAGTTAAAACATCTATAACTCAAGAACCGTTTGAAAGATTTTTATAAATTTTGTGTTTTTGGGTTTGTCTTTAACCGAAATAGGAGAATAATTATTAAAATATTAAAAATTATTACATACAGGGTGTTAAATAAGGGTTGTAAGTTAAAATAGAGAATTAATCGTAATTATAGTTAAATAATTGAATACCAAATGGCGTTAATCTGTATAAGTAACATTTTACATTTAAATTATTAACAAATTTTTACTAAAAATAAAAATTTGTAATGTGTAACAAAGTAGTTTTTAAATTAATCAATTTTTAATTACGCGTATTGTCCGCGCGGTGATTATCATCCACATAAGTTGATTAATTCTCTGTGCTTTTTTTTTAAATACAAATCAACCGAGTCTTTTATTTGCTTTTGGCTGCGAAGATGAGATTGACGCATAGTCATACATCGTGTAAGCGAGCACGTAACGCGCGATATAGACCTACGCCTAAGTCAAAGGCGTAATGATTTAAGGAATGCGTTATTAATTGTCGGCGTGCATTGTATGCGCACACTGGTAGCCTAATCGCGTTCTATCCAAGCCCATGCAGCCGGCACAATGGCGGCCGCTCTTCAAATGTACCTATCTAGTATCTTCTTCTTCTTCTTCTTTGCTGCTGCTGCTGCTTCTTTGGTTGTTATGTGTCTGGTTGCCGCCGTGCGCCCGGCGTACTCGTAATTATCGAACAAAACGCGCATTTCTTTTCATCATTGAAGAGGCCAAATTAATCATAACACTTGTAAAGGCGGCGGCGTCGGCTGTTTTTGTTGCGCATTATAATATACCTGGGGAAACGACGTCGACAAATAAAACACCACGGTGCTGCTGCTATGCATGCCGCACTGGCGTGCACAATAAAACACAAATGAGACGTTCCGACTCCCGAGGCTTCCACGTCCCGCGGCGCGTCGATAGATGTTTAGAATTCATTAATTTATTAATCAAAGAACGGAATGTCTCATCTGTTAACTTAAGTAGTAGGTTAACATGGTTTTTATAACGTATTTTTAGTAAAATACAAAAATTGCTTAACTTTGGCGGTGTTTTTGAAGCATTTTTGAGGAATTTTGGGGGCGGCAAATTGTTATCGTAAAGGACAACTCATGCTCTATATAAGTATGAAAAGAGCATACAAATATGTTAAACGGTTCCCGAGATAAAACATAATTTACATCTGTTTTTTTTTTGTAATTTACAAAAATTGGTAATTTGGGCGGCGTTTTTTGGACACTTTTGGAGAAATTTTGGAGGACGGCAAATATGTATTGTATAGAATAACTCTTGTCCTATATAAATATGAAAAGAAAATGGAAATATCTTGAACGGTTTTCGAGATATAACCTAATTTACATCACGTCTTTTTGAAAACTTGCAAAAATTGGTTAAATTTGGTGACGGTTTTCAGGCATTTCCTGTTGAATTTCGGAAATTTACAAAAATGTATCTTAAAGAGAATCTTTTAAACTATCGAGATATGAAAAGACTTCCTAATTATCTAAAACGATTTTCGAGAAAAACCCAAATTTCTACTGATAAAAAATTTACATGAAAAATATCATAATATACAATTAAAAAAATGTAATATTTTGCTAAAAAATAGTATTTCACTTGTAAAATAACAAAAACTAATTAATTTAATCATTAAATAATTATTTTTGCATATTGTTAAAACAAAAATGAAAATATTTCCGATTAAAAATAAAAATATAAATTACCCAGCGTTGAAAAGCCAGAGATACTCGTACTGCTATAAAGTTAAATACGGCGTGGTTAATTAAAATTATTAAAATAATGATCGATTGATTGAACTGTATAAGTGTGCAAGATTCGATTAAAGTCGTTAGCGTCGTTCGCGTCTAGAATTACTGATCGCGCGGACCTCCCACCTCGCGAGGCCTCTCGCGCGCGCGCGGCTCACCGCAAGCGATCGCATCGAATTTACTTAATCATTTTCCACACGTACATGAATGACCCGGCGGCCGAGCCGCCCGACGAAACCGAAAAACGTCGTCGTCGTCGTCGCGGACGTGTGCTAAGCCGACCGCACCGATCCAAAAACCTAATCGAGATTATTTTATCAACTACAATGACCCGAAGGTATCCACGATGATCATGATCACGGACACGATCACGATCGGCGTTTGATCCGCACCGGGCATTCGGGTATTGTTTACAGAAGACTTAATAAAACAAGTTTGATGGACGATCTACGCCGGCTACTTAGTGAGTCGGTGTTGATCGGTCGATCATACGTGAAAAATACACGCACTCGACGTGTATAGTCTACAGTTTCTCAAAAAATAAAAAAAAAATAAAAAATAAATATCTCGAGTGACAACTTGACATCGACGCGATCAAGGCGCACGGAAAAAATGCATGAGCGTAAAAAATCAAGTCGGTTAAAGGATTTTCATAAATTAGAAAGGGTGTTGGAGCTGTGCGCAGCTTTACAGTTTTTTTCTGTTATGTTTGATTCGTATTTCTTTATCTCGTCGCGACTGTCTGACGGTATGACGGTAGCGTGGATCGTTTAAGCACTTCGATTATGTACATTTATTTTAATTCCCCGCGCTGAACGGATCAGAACTGTCGCGTTGAGTGGCGCATCCGAAGATTCTCGCCCGGCTATACGTTTAATGTGCTTTAAAACGTGTCGATGCGCAAACGTCACGGCTTAATGAGCCAATTAGGCGACGCTTCTTAATGTTTGACCAGCTTTACAACCCGTCTGCGTTGAATATTCCAGTTAAAAATTTAAAAACAATAATTTTTGCTTTAAAATCACATTTTACTTGCATGTTGTTATGTATTTACCTATAGGTATGAGTTTTAAAGTGGTATTTTTTTTCTAGGCGTTGGAGGTCGTCGATACCATCGAAAAGTTTAATAACGCGATCATAATTACCAGCACTTGGTAAGTAATTATGCATAAAATGCAATTTATACATTATTTATATACATTTTAACTTATTTTCTGTTAAAACATTGAAAATTTATTTTTAAATTTTTTGCTTTTTAAGTTTTTTTTGTTTGGTGAAAAAAATTTGTGTTTGTATTTAATTGATATACCGATGTGTGTATTTTGGTTATCGTCAAATGGGCGATGCCCAAGCGGTTAATTAATTAACGGCGTGGGCGTCCGCGGCGGACGCGAGCGCGCGCTGCAAATCGATCGGCCGTGTAAATCAGCTAAACACCCATTGTCGGCGTGCATTTATGCGCGATTTGCATAATAATAATTACTCAGCGCCGCTCCGCACCACATCGATCCAATGTTGACATGAATCTCGGAAATTTGTGAACATTGCAAACCTAAACTCTACACAAACAAAAATTTTAACAAAATTAAAACTGGTTAAAAGGAGTTTAAAGTAATTTTGAGTGTGAAATTTTTAAATACACACAAAATTGACTGATTTATTACCTTTACAAAATTTACCTGCAAATTTTTAACAAAAAAGAAAAACATTAGCTACGGTTAATATTTGGGGTGTAGGTATGCACAATTTAATATTTAAATTATGCAAAGTGCATACGCCGAAAAGCACTTAAGTCAATTTATACCGAATGTTTAAACTTTAAACATTTTCGCGTTTAATTTCTTCTCCTTTGAATGTGTTGGGTTGATTGTCAATGCGTGTCCATGTCATTTCATGCACTTTGCAATTGCAGCGCAATTCCGTGCGGCAATTTCGCGAAGCTAAACGCCAGTTTTTACAGTAAGTGCACAATGGCGCATGAAGTAGTAAGTGGTGTGCGCACCGCGAGCCTATCGCCGATCACGATTCTGATCGGCTCGTAAACAAATTACACGCCATCGCGAAAGAATAATGGAAACGTTTCGCGAATCGGCATGCCGGACGCTTAATTGTGCAAATAGCATTTGCATACGCGATGAACGGCCATTACAGCGTGTTTTAATCTAGGCAACACACAGCGCATTTAATTACACTTGCATAACCTCAAGGCGCAAAGTAAATTTAACAAATAGACCGAGACTGTTGTAGGTAATGACGCTCAAGGGACCACACATTTTATCACGTTATAGCGGTATAGCAGAATGCGTGCGCATTGATTATTTTATTTTTTCTTATAGAGAAGTTCATGAGGATTTAGAATTTTTAATTCGTTGGTTGCTATCGTTTTTGGTTTCGGAGATAATTGCAATCGAAATATAGATAAAAATTTGAATATTCAGATGTTTGCATACATTTTGTTATTAATTATTGTCAAATATTTTTATCTTATAAATTTCATATTTCATTTATCTAATAGAGAATTTCCTGTAGATTAAGAATATGCGATTCGTTCCTTTCAATCTTCTTTATATTACGAGATATTCGCGATTGTATAAAATGGGCAATAATTGAAAAATGTCACTTTTAGCACTTTTAGTCGCGTTTTTCGACCTCTTACTGTAGGAAATATAATTATTTTATATTTTTATCTGATAGAGAATTTTCCAATCTTTCATAATCAGCAATTTGTTGGTTGCTATCGCGTTTAGTTTAAGAGATATTAATTATCAAAAATCGTCGAAAAAAGTATCAAGCACCCCCTTGACAATTTTATCTTAAGATTGAAAATTTCATCTCTTAGATTTCCATTTAAACTCGTCTATCTTATAGAGAATAGTTCGTAGAATAGTCTCTGCGATTTGTTGCTATGTAGGGAAGGTAGCCTAATTTGGACCAGCGCCTAAGTTGGACCACCACGATAACCGCGGACTGTTGAAGTTTGTGCAAAAATAGACTGGCCCCTCGTTTTACTCGTATTTATAAACAATTAATGCAACTATTTGGGTTAAAACTTGCCGCGAGCTTTCGTCGTGACAACAACTTTTTGTAACCTTGATTATCAAATCTATTATAACGACGTAAGTGCATAAGCTGTCAAGCTGTTTAAACGTTAGATTTCACGATTATAATTATATCATCAGAAAGCTTATTTATTTATCTATAATTTATAGTATTAATTTGGAGAGGTTATGTTATATTAAGATTGTTGTTGATCATTATATATAAATTCTTCAAGTTGCCCAAGTTGGACCAAAGACAGGCACCGGGGATTTAACAGGGAAAACGTATATCATTTTTTCGACCTCCTAGAAAAGCTTGTGGACGAGCACAAATCTTCGAAATGATCCACTGTATGAAATGCCAAACTTTGGTTTATACAAAATGTGCTTGTGTTAGTGCTAAAACTAAAATTTACTATTGTGTCAATTGCCGTTAAAAACCATGGTCCAATTTAGAAACCGCGCGGTCCAATTAAGGAAACCGGTTTCTTAATTTGGACCAAAACCAATTTTTAAATTGAAATTTGAGGGGTATAAATAAATTTTTACTTAAACCAAAAATAATTTTTTTAAATTGAAATTTGAGTTTATATGGGTATAAATATAATTTTTACTTAAACCAAAAATATCATTTTGTTGGTAAGCCTTGTGAGTTACTTTTCCGCTATTTAATTTTATTGACAGTTTATATGTGGCTCTATAAATCAAAAAATATAAAATGGTCCAAATATGGCTATCTCTCCTCTACTCTCTTTTAGTTTACGAGATATTTGCGATTGAAAAAAATCATCAAAAATTGAAAAATGTCACTTTTTAGCACTTTTAGTCGCGTTTTTCGACCTTTTATTGTAGGAAATATAATTATTTAATATTTTTATCTGATAGAGAATTTTCCAATCTTTCATAATCAGCAATTCGTTGGTTGCTATCGCTTTTAGTTAAAGGGATATTAATTATCGAAAATCGTCGAAAAAAAGTATCAAGCACCCCCCCTTGACAATTTTTTCTTAAGAATGAAAATTTCATCTCTTAGATTTCCATTTTAACTGGCTTATCTTATAGAGAATAGTTCGTAGAATAGTCTCTGCGATTTGTACCTATGTATCTCTTTTAGTTTACGAGATATTCGCGATTGAAAAAAATCGTCAAAAATTGAAAAATGTCACTTTTTAGCACTTTTAGTCGCATTTTTCGACCTTTTACTGTAGAAAATATTATTATTATATATTTTTATCTGATCGAGAATTTTCCAATCTATCATAATCAGCAATTTGTTGGTTGCTATCGCTTTTAATTTAAGAGATATGAATTATTGGAAATCGTCGAAAAAAAGTATCAAGCACCCCCCCTTGACAATTTTTTCTTAAGAATGAAAATTTCATCTCTTAGATTTCCATTTAAACTCGTCTATCTTATAGAGAATAGTTCGTAGAATAATCTCTGCGATTTGTAACTATGTATCTCTTTTAGTTTACGAGATATTCGCGATTGAAAAAAATCGTCCAAAATTGAAAAATGTCACTTTTTAGCACTTTTAGTCGCGTTTTTCGACCTTTTCCCGTTGGAAATATAATTATTTTATATTTTTATCTGATCGAGAATATTCCAATCTATCATAATCAGCAATTTGTTGGTTGCTATCGCTTTTAATTTAAGAGATATGAATTATTGGAAATCGTCGAAAAAAAGTATCAAGCACCCCCCCTTGACAATTTTTTCTTAAGAATGAAAATTTCATCTCTTAGATTTCCATTTTAATTCGCCTATCTTATAGAAAATAGTTCATAGAATAGTCTCTGCGATTTGTACCTATGTATCTCTTTTAGTTTTCAAGATATTCGCAATCGAAATATCATAAAACCCGAAAAACGAATTTTTGACAATTTACCAATTTATTAAATTTACTTTTTCCACAAATTTCATATAGCATAGTTACGCCACTATACGAGTACCTACATTGGGTCAACTAAAAAGAAAATCAAAAATCACCGCGTGATATTTTATCCAGTGTAAACGAGAACAGAAAAAAACTAGTACGCGAAGCGACGAATTCGATACCTGTTACGTGCACCGACGCATGCATGTAATGCATCACACACAATGTAAGAACGCTGTAAGGTTGCCCCGATATCGACGGATGAATGAATGATCACATGCCTATGCTCCATCAAAGGCACTAGACAAAGAAAGCGATACATGGAGTCGCGTTGTTGTGGGACCTAATTTGTTACCAATTTCCCATATCATATCAGTTGTCCGCTCAATCAAACTTTAAGTGCGTCAGGTCTTGGGTTACATCGCCATCCACACCGCAATTTTTACACACGTGCAATTTTGCAATCAAAAGTTTTTATTTTTCATATAAATATTAATCGAGTAGCTCCGCGCCTGAATGTATGCAACTTATCATACACATAGGTACAACACCACACCACAAATGCGGTTAACAATTGCGTCATTATTTCGCAATCGTCATGTTTATACCTAATGCACACTCAATACTGTTTAAAATACTCGCGAGATAATTTCGATAAATCAACGGTACGAATCATAATAATAACCACTTAATGTTCGTTTTTATTGCGGCGTGATTGCTACGCTTTTATGCTTTAATACTTTTTTTTATTCAGTCAAGTTTAGATGACTGTAATGTTATGTGATTTAAATGACGAACACGCAGGTTCATTAATCGGATTATTATATCATGTTGTGTATAAGTATTTGATACAAAAAAGCCAACTAATGACGCATTTTTTCCTTGTAATTATTTTAAGGTTAAGGTTTTAAGAATTTAAGCCCCGACGGAATGTTTTAATAAGTTAATGTATCAATAGAGTGAAATTTTACCCTTTTCGCGTGTAGGAGGTATAAATAATTAACAGATTAATTAATGTTTTGAAAGAGTTGCGATGTGACACTTTAATGAATCTTTCTTGTATATCAAATACAATATACCGAGTGTTTTAAAATATGTTTTAAGGGGAATTTAAGTGGTGCGCTTGTAAATTGTTGTTTGGTTCGCTTCGCTTCTTGGAATGAAAAGTGGCGTGCGGGCCCCGTGCACTGTCCCGCACACAATGAGAGCACGATATATAAAAGCGGTAAGCTGCTGAAAC